CTTTGTGAGTACTATGTTTTTGAGATGTAAGTAAGCGATTAAAGTTTTGGCCACGCCATATTGTAGAACTAATAAATCTAGACATCTACAAATATAAGCCTTTACACATTGATCCAGCAGTCAGGTAGAGCTAATTTAGACCTATCACAGCCCTTTGTGGGTACTCTTTCTAACACCCCCTTTCCGAGATCAGTGATTAAAGTTTTGACGCGACAAAATTTGGTATATGGTTTTTTATTCGAGACAAAATTAATGCGTCCAAAATTATTTTATAAAAAAAATCGGAGTATTTTGGATACACCGCAAGGTGGTAGCCGAGTGGTTAGCATAAATTATTTTTGAAGCTTTTGGTGGAAATTCATTGCAACCAGTGCAGATTTCTGGAAATTTAGGTATCAAACACTCTTTATATAAGTTTACAGAACTAAACATTGTATGTTCATGCCAATTCAATTAGTTAGAAAAATAAACTGCAACAAAGCTGTCAACTACACTCGCATTTACGTTTACAATGTTGCGCAAAATAGAGAACGTCTGAGAGCTGGCGGTGTAAATGAAAGACATTAGCTTAATTAACATCCATCCATATTTATGACCAAAGCAAACTAAAATCTGGAAGAGTCGTTTATCATCTTATATTATAAAACTCGAAATTTGTTGGGTTAATGTTGACTTTGCTAATTGAATCGTTTGGCAGAAATTCCATTCAAATTGTACTTAAAAAATGGAATGATTGATAATAATTTCCACGTTTCCCACATGTTTGTATTTTAAAGTAATGATCAATTTTTTAATGGGGTCAGGTACACGTATCTTATATACAATTGGTTCCAATGAAGCTAAATGTCAATTAACGCTTCAACTAGTGGAATGTGGCAACTTAACCTACCTAATGTTCTTATACCGTGGAGTACCGGCCTCAGTCCAATGTCACGCGCCACCTGCAGTGACCTTGAAAAGTAGATCAAGGTGAAGCTCAAAAATCGGTCAACACATAATGTCAATAAACCCATTTCTGATATTTCATTTTCAAGGTCATCAGAGGGCAATGACATCAATTTCTGTGGTATCATATTGCGTTAGTGGCGATCTTGGTGAAAAGTTGAAGGTGAGATTTGGTGATCACTCACCTTCTGGGGATGACCTTAAAAAGTAGGAGGTAAACGTGAAGTTCAAAAGTCTTTCAGCATCTGACAGTAACCTTGAGATTCGGTCATCACGCCTAAACATTTCCTCCTTTCGAGTGCTACCTGGTGACCTCAAAAAATGAGTCAGTCTTGTTCGATCGGTCGTTGATTCCTAAACCCCTGTTTCTCTCCAGACGTGGAAAGTAGGTTAAGGCACCATTCAGTTGTTCAACCCAAGTGTCAGGTGGAAAGTAGACCAAGAATGTTCAATCCCGGAAACTGAGTTCAATATTTGCCCTTCAAATAATGATATTGGAAAGATATTATGTATACTTCACCCTTAACTAATGTTTTGCCTCTATAAAAGAGCTCCGCTATCATTGTGTCAAGAGATAAGTGATAGCGGGTAAACAGTCACGGATAATTTTAATGTCCCTCACACCCTGGCCTTTCCAGGCTCTCTATATCCTCTCAACACGTCCTCTAGCTCTCTACTTTCTCTCTCTAGATGCTCTACACTTGCTCCCTACTTGCTCTACACCTGCTTTCTATCTACTCCCTACCTTTGAAGTTCAAATACGATCACTCAAAAATTCATACATTCGAACGTAATAGTATATTAAGTATGGAGAACGGTAAGGGATTTTTACCGTTCGAAGACAATTGTTTGGAGGAGGAGCGAAGCGACGACTCCAATTATTGTATGAGAACGGTAACCCTTAACGTTCAACGTGCTTATAAAATTTTTTGCGCGATCGAAATTAAAATTATGCAACCAATATAAATAACTAAGAAATTAACGAGCAGAATAAATCGAAATGATCGAAGTGGTATGGTGTACATCACTAGGTAACCAGTTTACTTGTCAAAATTGAAATGAATAATTTCATAAAATTGTGCATGTGTCTGATGTAATTTGCTAGCTTTGCACTTCTATTATGACTTTATGAGCGAGGTATTCGCCGGTGGTCGAATGGTATGTCGAGATTCTTTACAGAACAAAATTGTAATTGGAACCAATGTGTTAAGAAAAACGAAAGCACATCTTCAAACACATTGATCTCTATTGCTTCAGGTTAAAATGAAGAACGTGTTCTTTCTATAGGAAACAACAGCACAAATTGTACGTTTTGTAACAATAATTAAAGATTAAATGTAATGTAAGACTGTTGATTTTGAACCGATTGTTTTTAAAAAGGCGTCGGTAAGTATTTTTGCTGTTCCGTTTTTAGATCGGTAAGTAATTTTGGCGTCGTCGTAATCATAGCAACTGGTAAATTCTACGTACTGTCATGGAAACACCTATGGTAAATAGTCAGAAATGACCGATCGCGCAAAAAAGTCATATAGGACATCATTTGCGCACAATGGGTGGCTTCCGACGTCCGAAGAATTACAGTGACACTTCACCTTTGAGAACGTCACCTTGACCTCCTTTCCAAAGTTGCCGCTAGGTGGCGAGCAGTTCAGAGTACGACAATGTATCACTACTCTCAAGCACTTCTACCTGCATGTGAGTCCCCTACAGACCAAGACTCTTTCTCAATGATCAGCACCCACACCACTCCTTGGTCTAAGTCCACCAATCACGTAGAAATTGTGCTGATTGTGTGACTGACTCATGTGATTCGGTCGAAATAAAGCTTCTCTTGAAGAAGAACACCGTGTCGTCGTGGCACTATTCTGCCATACGCGGAGAATAACATTATAGAACGAACCTGATCAGTTTAATTAGAGCCATCTCGTTTCGGAAATATCTATTTATGGAAGTGCATGTTGCTCTACTAGTCCGGTCAAAATAGACATTCACCCTTGCATAAATTCCTAAGAAACTGAAAGTTTACACGAACGTTAGGGATACCATTATAATGTAATTATGAAAAGTCCCCATCGATCCCGTGTGTGCAAAAAATTTTATTCAAGGTCAAAGTTCGCAAAAATGGGTTTTTTGGATTTTTTAGCGAAATGGTTAGTTTTATGATAAAAATAGGTCAGACAAAAATTGGAGATCATGCAATTATCTACAAAAATTGTTCTTACACTTTTCCCCCTAACATTCAGTATTTCTGAGAAAAGCGATTGAAGGGTTGACTAAAGCTGTATTCCCCATAACATGCGTGGCTACGCTGCCTATGCACATCATTGGACTAATAATATAAATCAAACTATTAGTCTGCGTGACTAATACATTAATATTGAATGATACGTGCCCGTATTTCTGCTTTTTTTGTTATGGTCCCAACAAAATGTCATTAGTATGCAACCTTCTCTGGTATTGAAAACATGTGGTACAGTAGGACATCGATTATCCGAACTAATTGGGACGGATAGTGCTTCGGATAATCAAAAGTTCGGTTAATCAAACAGTAGTTTCAAAATACAATCCTGTATGAAACAGGATGAAAAAAATGGGTGCAAATTTGAACAAACTCTATTATGTTTTCAATTAAATAAATTGTGTAGTAAAACGACTTAGATTGTGTACAATATCACAGAAGAAAGGGGTTGGAAGTTAATTGATAATGTCTTCGAACCAATCCTAACATTACTTCCACCTGCACCAGATAAGCTCCTTAATACTATTTTTTGCAACTGCAAAAAGGGTTGTAATTCGAAATGCGGCTGCAAAAAAGTAGGTTTATTTTGTTCAACAGGCAACAGCCAGCATGCACCAGACGAAACACCTGATGTATCACTGTTTGAACAATTTACGTCGACTCAGGAAGAGGAAGACGAAGAAAAACAAGAAGAATTTTATGGAGAAAGAGAAGACGAAAAAGAAGAATACATTGATTATTATTCTACTAGGATTAAATAAAATAGACCGTGGAGACGGCCTACTGGGGAAACCACGTTAAAAAGAACGCGTCAAGAGAATACACTTCAGTAAATTTTGGAATCGCTTTTAAGTATTGAATCTTAGGAGAAAAAGTGTAAGGACATTTTTTGTATATAACTGCATGATCTACAATTTTTTCTAGCCTATTTTTATCATAAAACTAACCATAAAATCCAAAAAACCCATTTTTGCGAACTTTGACCGTGAATAAAACTTTTTGCACACATGGGATCAATGGAGACTTTTCACAATTTAATTATAATGGTATCCCTAACGTTCATGTGAATTTTCAGCTTCTTGGGAATTTATGCAAGGATACCCCTATTTTTCGGGCTAACTTGACCGGACTATACTACTACCACTAGAGAGAGATTTAAGAGCATTTAAACGAACCCGAGACCCCGTGGCTACAGAACGCCAAGAGAAAATGTTTTAGTGTTGAAAAATTCCGACTACTTTCGGAGGACGGAGATTTATTTTTTACTGAAGTTATTTAAAAAGATATTTCGAAATAAATGACACATTATTATGGCCACTTTTTTCACTCTACAAGATGCTACTTTTAAATGTTAAGTTTGACGTCAGCTATCATCAACTGTTTTCTTATGGGTCATTTTTACTTTTTGTGTCATTTGATAGAGAATTTTTTCTAATTTCAAATATGTAAACATTTCGGGCAGAAGGTGACTAGAGTATAGCACACGGAAAATAATAAATACACCGCATTGAAAATGTTGTGTAGGCTTAGGATACATTTTCTCCACTTACACGGCTCGAAGGATCAACTCAATTTATACTTAAAACAACCTAAAATTTTGCCTGAAGACGCATATAATGTAAATTTACTATTATCAACAGTGAATGAAGATAAAGGACGTTATTTAGTACAATCAGTGGTGGGTTTCGTAGTAAACCGTAGTAAATTTAATTTTCCTGTCTTCTCTAAATGCCTCTGTTAGTCGAACATTATCGTGTAATGATATACAAACAAACTTGTACCATGATTACAATGCTATAGAACGTTAAACACATACCCAACTCAAGATACAACTGATTGATGGTGTCATATGTATCCCAAAACGGCGTGCTACTCTCGTCATTAGTTTGCGTGCCCTTATTCAAAGTTTCAACCGTCGATGCGCTGGGTGTCGGTCCGTTTGGGTCCCTGAAACAAATATTTCACGTTACTAATAATCTCCCTTCATCATCAGTTCTAAAGAGGTCCAATATTGAGTTTTTAGTATAAAAAAATAATAGGTTTCATTTATTTATTGGTTTAATAATATCAGCCGGGATAAGACGAATAAAATTCAGCTGCGTTCCTTATTTTATTTTATTGACTAATTTCCTTTTATTGGCCATAAAATATGTCAGCAAAATTTTGCTCCGGCCATCGAAATCTGAAGTTGTACAATACAAGCTCCCGAGAAGAGCGTTATAACCACATCATAAACTTTAAGACAATTCTATCGTGAAACATAAATTCCCCCATTTTGTATATGACGCGATTCAATTTGAGGGTTTTTTTCTCTCGGTAATTGACGGTAGGTAATTGAAAAGCACTGCGGCGTAACAATAGAATTGCTATAATTGATCTTCGGAGTGGGCGAGTAAATTAAAGAAATTCCTATTTTAAATTTTCCAATATGTGCAATGGGATAGGTCAATTTGCTCATTGGATTTAAGCCAAAGCGGACTGCTTGATATACGTCCCTTGCATGACGAAGCAAGCTGCGGAAATCACAAATGTACGTTTCCGTTGTACTATTTTACATACGATTTGTTTCCAACAAGAAGAGCCGTGCTTTATAAATTACAGCCACTGTGTGTCTTTAGAATACATAGTTTCGAGCATGTAAACTTCTAAAAAAGAATTCTCTGAAATTTTGTAGAGAGAATTCTGCAGATTTGAACTAAATAAGTTGGTGATGTCACATAGAAACTCAATAATCCACGAATATGTAGTTTCATAACTACAGACTTCTCCTGGGTCCTCAATCTCTGATCCGTGAATAAGTGACATTACGTTCAATATATGAAAATTGAGATGGATAAGTTAAGCGCATTCTCATATAGTCAATGGTACCTACAGAGATTTATTTCGCTCAGTCTGTCATTTTGTTCATCGTTTATGATTTCAAATGATATTCAGTATCGACCTTAATACATAAGTTGTCGTTACAAATTATTGCTAATTTAATGCATCAAACGGAATAGTTTGCTTAATAATATTCTCACCCGTCAGAATATTTACATAGAAAATATTTGCACGAATAATAAACGACTCTGTTAATGATTTATGCCAATCGAATTATGATAACCAAACAGTCGCCGACTGTATGCGACTTAAGAGCAGTTTTTAATTTATGTAATAACTGGCACAAATGGTTTTAATTGTTTAAGAATGTCATTTTTTAAAGGAAAGTCAGGAGTTACCAATGCACGAGTACTGAAGAAAGATAGGTACATCTAGAATGTATGATCAAATATGATAAAAAAGAATTTAAATCGAAAATTTCTTCTTCTATGTTGCGAGTTATCTTTTGAACAAGTGTAAATCGTAAACACCTGGTACGGAGCGAATCCCGACTTCATTTTTTATTTCTGATCTACAAAGTGCATTAAAAATAAAAAGACCCGTGAGTCCTCAATTTTTATTTGCGAGTAAAATAAACCCAAAATAAATTATGAAAAGCTCTGTTTTTAGTCCGAATTTGAAACGCTTCAGTCTAAATACGTCACAAACCTACAACCAATCACGTAGAAGTGAGCCGGCAACCTTGTGCGAAGGTCTGACGTTTGTCGGATTTGACGTTTTAAGAGCCATGTTTAACTGCATCGGACGCGAAAGTGAACGACAAGTGACAAATGCCTGTGACAGATGACGCAAATTACAAATGACATTCTCCTGCAATATTGCCAATTCGTTATGTCATCTGAATGGTTCTAGGAGCTGATTGGTCGAGCTTACTACGTCACAGAGCACGCCACAATCATATCCTTTTGAATAAACCCTTAAAACGGCACATGTTCATTATTTTTTAGCTAATCAGTCTCTATTTTTAAGTAAACTTTTACTGTCCAAAAAAATGTTTTAATGGTTTCAGGTACACGCTTATTAAATCAGAACTACGGAATTCAACTATACTGTAAACCCCATTGTATAGAAAGTTATTATTATTACATGGACACGTCACCGTTAAATTATTAACGGGAATAGTGTGTATACTAGAATGGGTGAAGATGTAGTTACTAAAGGCATCAACGAAACGTTGTTATACTTGCGTACGATCTGGTCATACATCAAAGAGTTGTAAATATCCAGTGAAATGTATCGTATGCAGCAAGAGGCATTATATAGTTCTATATCCTGATCTAAAGGCGGGTGATACAAAATTTAAAAAAATGGAAAGTATGTTGAAGGTGACATTGTATAAAAGTCCGGGGAAACCAAATACATCTAAGGAAGTGTGTTCATGGATCGCTCTTGGAAGCAATTCTCCCATATATTGAAAGATTTTCCGTCGAAATTGCAGAAGGAACGTTTTCTTATAATACTTTGGGGGTGCTTCCATAGTTTCTAGGATGGACACAAAACAGTAAAGAGTTCATCTTCAAATTTCAAATCTCATTTTGACCTATACGATGAAAACAAAATTTGCATTGGAATATCTAAACTGTCAAACGATAATTGGATGAAAGAGTTACATGAATGAATTGTTTTATCAGCTATTCCACAAACACCAACCTTCCTGGAAAAAGTCCTGTCAAATTTTTTGCGTATGAAAGCTCGAGGAGTCATTAAGTCGCGAGATACAACATAAGCGAGAAATACGGTACGCTCCAGGTAAATTTAATCCGGTCGTTGTGGAGGGAGCTATGCAGATTGTAAACTGCCGATTTTGCTGATTTGTAGAGAGACTAGTTGGTTGTAAGAGTCCAAGGCGAAGTAACCATGAGAATGTCGGGTTAGCGGTGGTAGAGCACGAGTGGAAGAATAATCGTAGGAAGATTAACGTCGAACCGTGATACAGCCCCAGTAGCCGAGTTGTAAGAATAAAAATTGTTAATATGGAGATAAACCAAAAGCGCATTTGCAGTACTGGAAAATCAAGGAATTCTGTGAATCATGAAGGGATTATCGTGAATATTCAGAAAATATTTTTTCGTAAAAAAAGCGAGCGGCCAAGGTGGAACTAATAAAAAAGTCGAAAGGTTTCAATCAAAAAAACCGGGATTTTTATTTTCAAAAATGTAAACAATCGAAAGTACGAATAGGTAGGTGCGTAGAACAGGACCACCTTTCCCGGCACTTTTTGTGACATCACAAGGTCTTGGCCTTTGAATTTTCCAGGTTACGCCACAAAGTCATGGCCTTGGATTCTGGCCTCAAGTTTTGGGCATCATTGCATTTGACTTTGCCCCTAAATGCTGACACAAGGTCGTGGCTTTGGAATTTACCCGATGTAAAGAAAGTCATGGGATTAGTAAAAGGAATTTCCCGATTGCGTAACTAGGGAGTGACCTTGTTTATGAATCAGCGTCTTGGTGCCATTTAGCTAAGGCATGATCTTGTTCTTAGGACGAACCATTGCAATCTATGCGATTAGGGCGACCAAGCAAAAGCAAAGCGTTCAATAAATATATAAGATTAGAGATGCCATATTGAAAAACCTCAGCTACTCTTAAAAATGACAAATAATGCATTTCAAATTTACCATATCTCAAATTTGATCAAAATCGTATGAATAGTTTAAAAAATGGGAATGGTAAAATTGGTCGATTATTTTTGATTCTTCAGATTTTATTAGATTGATTTTGAAATCAGACTTTGATTTTGATCAATTATTAATTCTACTACGCGATTTAAAGGGAGCGATAGAGAAGAACAAGAAGAGATTGCCATAGTGCAAACCCTAAGCTACTCTTAAAAAATGGCAAATTATTCATTTCTAATCTGACAAAGAGGAAAGGCTCCCTTTAAATCGCGTAGCAGAATTAATTAATTGATCAAAATCAAAGTTTAATTTCAACAGAAAGAATTAGATTAATTCAATTAAATCCTCAATTTAGCTAAAATTAGAAATATTAAGATAAATAAGATTTATTTGTACGGAAGCCCGAAAGCAACTTGCATTTATGCTACACTTATCAAAAACCCTAGCAAAAACCTCTCGCAGTAACGGTTACAGTTTCGTAAAGTTTTGGTTGCACACATGTTTAGGATAATATATTTTTTTTTATCTTTTTAGTGTGGTCCTTTTCTTATGGCACAATTTCAAACCGTAACTTTGTTGTGTGTTATATAGTCTAAATCTAAACCGTTTCCGTAACTAGTTATAAGGTTACTAGATCTACAGCTTATTTACAAGATATATTATTGGTTATTCCTAATAGGCTTACGTGTGGCCAGTATGCTGAAGATCCGTGCGATTACACGAAGCTGTTCAATCGATATACTAGAAAGGCAAAGTTTAGGATCGTGATTCACAAGACCTTCCAACCCTATATGTTACAAATGGAATTTCATCTAAGTAATACAAGCTAACTTCATGGTTAGTAATTTTGTCATTATAAACTCAGGAAATATCCATACAGTATATGTATGTATAGAGGCTCTTTGCGTATCTATATGCAAATTAGTTGACATGTATGTTAGCAGTTCGAAATGAATGCACCATATGTATAGTTAAGACTTAACAAGCAAAGGATTTGGTGTTGGCAGAATAGTGCGGCGAACGCGCCCCCTTCACCCCTTTCGAATATTACAGATCTTTACTTATCGTGCAAGAGTATATTAAAAAGGAAGCCAACAGTTAATCTGAAACAAACGTGAACATTTACAAGCAATTAAGCAATTTTGTCAAATAAATGAAGTGTCTTAAGGATAATGTTGCACATTAATTTGAACCCCTTAGAAAACCTGAGATAATAAATTATTAAGCTCGGCGTTAAATTCGACGGAGCTTCCATTTAAATGATTTCCGCTTTTTCGAATAGGTGGATTTTGAGTGAATGTTGTCTTAGTAATCGCATTTTTCAAGTCTGTGTCGCCTTGCTTTTATTGAGATAAAAATCCATAATTTTATTCTGGACGGGCTCGATTTGTTTGCTGATCGAATGGGATGATAATGTATAAATAAGTGATCACAAAGTTCGCAATTT